AAGTCATCTGCGAGTCGATCGTCACTTTGATTCTTCAATAATATTGTCGCTATAGTTGAAAACTGGAGGTGTGCTAGAAAACTTTAAGAAACTCAATATGACAATTTTATTACCAGTGCGAAAATATTACTGTGTACCGTAAATCGGTTTATCTTTGATAATGCATAAGACCCTGTATATAATGATTAAATTTACTCTCTGCACTACTTCCGAATTGGAAACATTGCTTCCATGTTGTAGTTTAGTTTATTACCCTTGATATCGTTCAGAGTTTTATATAGTATGTGTTACATATTTTTCAAATATCTGAAAAATCAATTTAATTGTTTTTCGCCTGTTTGAAAAGGCACTCAAACAATCACTTATTACATGTATTTCCGATAAAGCCATTATAAATTCAATGTTGTCTTCATATTGTCAATGATGTTTTCTGATTATATTCGCATTCAAAGTTTCATATTTCTTGAACTAAATATTTAAAAACATAGTTTTTCTAATAATACACAAAATTAACAAAATTCAGACATAATTATATCGCTTTTAGGTAGCCCAGTCTAGAAGTTAGGTCGACTCCGATGTTATGAATTGACCACCATCTATCAAAAACCTGTTCACATTCGTAAACAAAACATCACGTGTGCCTGTTTAGTTCTGCAGTTTCGGAAGATTTTAGTTGGATTTCGGTAAAATACTAGCCCTTGCGTGTGCAAAATGCCTCGAGTCTACGTGAAAAAAGTGGATGCAAGAACCTATTCACGATACACATCCGAAACTTTGCAAGAAGCGGTGGATGCAGTGCAGAAAAACGGGTCATCTATTGTCGCAGCCTCCCGTTCTTTCGGAATCCCGTATGGTTCTTTGTACAATAAAGTTCATGGATTGCATATGAAGAAACCCGGTGCCAGTACTGTGTTCACCGAAAAGCAAGAAGATGAGCTTGCGGAAGTGATTCGAGTATCTGGCATATGGGGGTTTCCGCTTACTCCGGCTTGCATAATAAACCTCGTGCAACAGTTTGTGACTTGCAACAAAACAGCCACCAAATTCCGAGATAATGCTCCCGGGAAGGATTGGATCAACTCGTTTCTCAATCGACACAATCTAGTTGCCCGGTTGTCACAGAATATTAGACGAAGTCGGGCCAAAGTAAGCCACAAAGTGATCAACGATTTTTTCATCAACCTTGCGGAAACAGTGGATGGCGTCCCTTCCGAGAATATAGTCAATTATGACGAAACAAACTTCAGTGATGATCCTGGATCAAAGCGAGTTGTGGTGCAAAGAGGACAAAAACATGTTGACAGAATTATGGACCATTATAAATCATCGTTCTCTGTTATGTTTGCTGGAGCCGCCAACGGAAAGATGTTACCTCCGTATGTCGTTTATGCTGCGCTACACTTATATCCAACATGGATGGAGGGAGGACCGAAAGGCTGTCGCTACAACAGAACTAAATCTGGTAATTTTTAAAATACATTATTTATATCAATAGTTGATTGAAACTATTGTTTGCAGGTTGGTTCGACTCCGTGGTATTCGAAGATTGGTTTTTCAAAACTGCCGTTCTTTATTTTAAAGGCCTTGAAAATGACCAACGAAGAATAATCATTGGAGATAAAGTCGCCTCTCATCTCAGCTACCGTATCATACAATTCTGTATGACGAACAACATCTACTTTGTACTTCTACCACCCAACGCAACTCATTTGTGCCAGCCGCTTGACGTAGCGTACTTCAGGCCATTGAAGAGGGCATGGTCGAATACATTAGGGGATTGGAAAAAGCGTAACAACGGATGTGTACCGAAGCATATATTTCCAGGGCTCTTGAAGAATACTTTGCTCTCGATTGAAGCCAAAAGTGCTCAAAATATGAGAGCTGGCATATACCCACTTAACAAGAATGCAGTGCTAAAAAAGCTTCCTGATGATGTTGATAAGAAAGATACCACAGCGATCACATCATTTTCCGAGCAACTGATCATTATGCTGAAGGAAGAGCGATTTGGAAAAGTTGAGGAACGGACCATCCCGCGTAAGCGACGGTTGATTGATGTGCAACCTGGCTCAAGTATAACTGAGGAAGAAACACAACAACTACTGGTGAAAAAATTAAAGATAAAAGAAGATCGAGATGCTGCCAACAAAACCAATGGTGGTTCCACGCACTCTTTAAATTCTGCTGGAACGATGAAAGTAAAGCATACGAAGCAGAAGATGTCACCTGTAGCTAAGAAAAAGCGCCGTCCATTCGTGGATAGATCAAACAAGGAAGAGAATGATGAAGAATCATCCAACCTTATCCCTGAGGTAGTTGTGAAGCAAGAAGTTGCTTGGACACCATCAAAATTCGCTAAGAACAAACGCAAAATGAATCGAAGCAAACTTTCCGGTTCAAAGAAACTACGAATTTAATCGGTTTGGGGTTTGTTATATTATGCAGTATTTGATTAAAAAAAAACTTTTAAGACAGATCTGATATGATTATAATCATGAATTTTTCAGTTCAGTTATTTTTTTTATGGCTTTGTAATACTATTTGTAAAAAATAAAAAAATAAAAAATAAAAATTTGTTTTCTTATGTGTTGTTCAAGCTTGATTCCAGATTAAAAGAACCGTACATTTCTGAATCAGCGCATTTATTTAGTACGTCATCTAAAATTTGGGAATTTTCTCCTCTTTGACACGGTTTTTCCAACACATAATGCATTGCTGGTTTCGGAACAGGGATCCTGCCGTCTTCCCTAGGAGCGTAACATACCTAATGAATGGCCCCTTGTATTTGATAACTGCATCGTAGGACGTGATTTTGAGATTATGTGAAATGTGGGCGTGTATTTCTCTTTCTCTCTCTATGTGTGAGTGTGTGTGTGTGTGTGTTTTTGTGGGTGTGTATTTGTGTGGGTGTGTTTTTGTGGGTGTGTATTTGTGTGGGTGTGTTTTTACACATGTTTTTCTACATTCATCGAGCATTATCAAAGTAACCCCAAATCAAAATACTGAAGTTCGGTCATAAAACTAAAAAAATAGTGCAAATGCTTTAATTTTCGTTCAACATATTACTAACGAATTAACTCTTGGATCCTCAGTACTTGTTTTAAAAATATAAAATTTGAAAAACAGTCATTGCTGTAGAAAATATTTAGAATATACTTTAAAAAACTATCAATGTTACCCCGTTTTATGGTACTTATTTTTAGCACAGTAGTCTAATCAGGTACGAAATCTGCAATACAAGCAGTCATAAATTTACAAAAATTACATATTGAGTTTCTTAAAATTTTCTGGTACAAACTCATTAGTGTAGCTTGCCAGTACCGTTCTAAAGCTGCTACTGCTTTCAAATTAATTGGTTTTTCAATTGTTGGCATGGGCGCAACTATTACTGTGCAATTATTTAAGTAGTGCAAAACGCACAATAATGCTCTGGAAGTTAGGGATTCCTGGGGTAAAATGCAACTGTTCCCCATCAAATGACGAATCAGAAAAACTCGTCCTCCTCAGATTTACATAAATTTTGCATAAAACTTCGCATAATTGTGTGTTAGGGGCAATTATTCACATTTTTACAAAAATTCAGCCATTTTGGATGATGTATTTTTTTCACCAATGTTGCCTGCTGAACAGTTGATTGAGCATAATCATAAGACATCAGTGACTTAAATCATTATTAACTTTTGTTCCATACATTTGATCGAAAATTGGTCTTCAATTAAGTTGTAGCTGAGAATTCCCTACAAGTGCACACTTTTAGATTAGATCCAGCAAATAAAATGCCGAGCTGCTCTGCGGTGCCCATCTCGGCAAAAACATTTAAGTGTGCAGCTATAGTTTTTGAAAGCAGAGTGGAAAATTGGTTTCTTCATAGTTATCTCCTTATAAACTTTATAGGGTTTGTACAAATCAGTTTCTAAATAAACGAATTCAAATTTTGGGAGGCTAATTAGGCCGTTTGAGTACCATGGAGCGAACATTTCCATTGTTGCATCAGTTTAATATACACTGTCGTAAAAATTCCACGATCCATTGAAGTGTAATGGAAGTTTACGCATGGGCTTTTATACAGCAGAAGATGACGATGATACTCGGCGCATGGCAAAGACTGTTTTTCGAAGATTTGCTGCGACCAGCACTACTAAACATAGGACCAACAAAACGAAATGAAATTTTGAAAATCTTTATATTATACATCACCTATGTTAATGAAGTTAACGATAGAATCGATGTTAGTGCACTTGCATTCTATTTGAGATGCGAATTGTAACCATTTGTAAATAATCTTTTAATAATACAGAAATAAACGATAACTTTAAAAAAATGTGTATACTTTTACGATGCGCGTGGTAAAGTGGAAGAAACAGTCCGCCATGTTACACGCATAGACTAACAGTTGATTATGAGATTTTCGGGATTTTCCCATAGAAGTAAAGAGTTACGAGTCGCCGTCATCACAAATTCCTTTGAATGCCGACAATGAGATTGCAATAGCAGTTTGTTTTTATTTTGCCTTTAGATTGTAGGATTTGGGTGGTAAATATAAATCATTTTGTGAACTCCTTGAAAAGGTGTATCTCTCTCCAAATTCAGTAGGTATATCTTTTGCAGCCTTTCTTAATCTTCAACCCAGTTGCATAAAGCAAATTTTGTAAACAAACTGTCTTAAAATGTTAGTTAACAAGGTTTGGAAACAAAAACTAAGCTTTAAAAGATTATATATAAACACATTTTATTTTTAAAAAGAATACCTTAAGTTCGTCCATAAGCCATGCGAATAACTTTGCGAGGAGAGGTGTGTTTTTTAAACGAATTTTTGCGGAGAAATTCAATTTTTTTCACGTGGCTTTTGAACAAATTCCCTACTTAAAAATGGTTCAGCGTTGGAAATTTTAATTAAATGCAAGTATCGTTAGTAGCAAGCACATGTTGTAAAATTGACATCATATTATAACGTAATAAACAGAATATGTATTATATGTTTCTGAATATCTGACACTTACTCATTTGCATTGAAGACGCGGCCTGTCTGTGTGGTATTACTACCGTCGAGCAGCAATGGATGTAGCGGAATATTGTCATGCACTGGTTCATTTTTCGCTATACGGTTGAAACCATTGTTGATTTGACAATATGGTGCTTTGTAAGCTTCCGCTCCTGATAACACCGCATGCATGGCGGCCGATGCAGCGGCAGAAGTTGCTGATGTTTTTGGAGCTACATTGTTACCCTTCTTTGGAAACTGGCCTGGTCGTCGTATCGATGACCACATATTGCCGAATAGCGTGTGGTTTCTCTGGAAATAAAATATATTGAATTTAATTATATTTGTTGTGTCAAAATACAACAATTAACAGTAATTATACTCACTCTATGCATTGGTTCTGGATTGTCGTCACCCATATCTTCAAGATTACCAGAGATAGCACGTTTCAGTTCAGGACCTGCTTCATGTAGTGTCCTTAACCCTGCTTGTAATGTCATTGTGCGTCTATTGTCATAATCTACATTCTTATTGTCGTTTTCTTTGCGTTTCTTAAATCTCCTAAAGTAATCTTGAATGAGGAACGTGGCGTAGAATTTACCAACTGTCACTTCATCATCAACTCCTGGAGGGGGAACTACTTGATCGAGTAATTTTGGAGCAGTTCGTTTCCATATTTGTTTAATAGTTGCTCTCAGTTCCGAATTTGCGTCATCGATGTTACCTTCTGTTTTAATTTTCAACGATGTTCTCACGACAGCAAACAATGTTGCGTTGAAGAGAACGGTGCCATCACTGTTTAATGGCATATTCATCGAAACAAGCCTTTTACAAGCAACTCGATGAGGGCAAAGTTTACCAAATCCTAATGGTGGAGATATTTTCCGTAGCAATGTCACAACGTCCAAGTGCTTTATCCTTCCTTTTGCATCAGGATCATACTCGCTCCATAATCTAACGAATTCGTCCAAATGATGCGGACCCAGGATAGACCAATCGCGAGTAAGGTAATCAAAGTTATCCATAATAACAGCAACGAACAAATTGATGATTAGAAATGAGCACAGTACGTAGAAGGAAATGAAATATGGGAATGCTATACTAGATCCACAGCCTTCCGGTGAATTAGCATCGTCTGATCGTGGATCACACAATACTTCGCCCGGCCGCGATGAACAATCCAACATGATGTCTTGCCACGCTTCTCCAGTTGCTGATCTGAATAGTACGAGCACAGCTTGCGGAAACGTTTGAAAGTTATTATTTCGATGAATTGAGGTTGCGTCTTCCAAAGCTATTTTTCCAAATACCTATTGATGATATAGAAAATTTCTGAATGAGTATTCATAATATTCACAGGTGCACTCTATTGAGCTCAGCGAAATAAACTATCGAAATTCATAAGTTTTGCATTATGACGAATGGATTTCATGAAGCTGCCTTATAAATGATATCGTACCATGAGCACTTCTTATATGCCATTAGCCTCTCCTCTTACCCAAGCGTTGATAGACGTGTGGTCTACACACCCATTTTATATTGCCGTAAGTCAGTAAAATTTTGCCTTGTTGGAAATCCAGCAAAATATTATTGCTGAACGACCAGCTCATTTGACAGCTCCTTGCTGCAAAACCAGCAATATTTCACTGGTTTGTTCAGTAAACCCGTAAAACTGCATAATAAACATTTTACTGAATTACCAGCATTTTTTTAAAGGTTGTTCCAAAATAAGACTTAAAAATAAAAATAATCGATATGTACAGTACATTTATTTGGTAAATCCTATTTTATCACAATTGCTTAGTGGAATAATAATCCATGTGTTTTTTTTACATTCCAATAACACATTTCAGCAAAGATTCAGAAGCACTTCTCGCAAGGATTTTAGCTGGAATCAAAATAATAAACTTGGTTAAATTCAAGTAGTCATAATGTTGATGCACTTACTGGTTCGTAGAGAATTTCACTAGCATGAGCACTATAATTCTGAAATCTAAATCTCTGAAAATCGTTAACTTCGCGTATGAAGTAACATAAAAAACACTTTGAATGTAACAACTCAAGGCGGGAGTAGCCGTCAACAATGCTGATGATGGTACAGCACGCAACAATCACCCTACTGCTTTCTCTCTGAGATGATCACGTTGGTCATGACGAGAGGAACAACACAATAGTTGGGTAAAGAAGAACTGCATTATAACACACCATCGACTGGAAATGCTCTCGCAACGTGGGGCTTTGGGTAGTGATGAAAACGTCGCTAGAACTATTCCACAGCCGCAGTCAGTTTATGAGCAAAAAGAGGGACGCACATTTTTGCCTGTGGACTTGGAGACATACTTCAAGTCCCCGCGTACATCGTACGGGTTAGGCAAAAATGTGCGTCTATCTTGAAAAACTGACGCATTAATGGCCCTTCGCTCATTTTCAACTTCTATTCAATTTTCATACTGCCGTACTCTAATGGAACTATCCACCTACCCTCTTCTAAAGATCATTCTCTAGCTAATAAATCATCACACTAAAGCTTCATGTTAGCATTTCCAACCAACACTATAATTCTGTTAAAAAACACTTCTTGATTCAAAAAATAAAAATAAAATTTAAAAAATGCCGTGGGAATGTGAAACATAAAAATGATCCCGTATTCGACAGATCATGCATAATATTGGGCTTCCAGCAAACATGTTTATATTGTTGGTTGGCCAGAAAAAAACCTACTTTTGCTGGAAGCAGCTCAGCAATCTTTTTGGCTGGAACTCGATTTTAATCGCTGAAAACCAGCAAAATTTTGCTGGATTTTGCCGAGCTGAAGTGCAGCAATCCAGCCAGCAAAGTGATTTTGCTGGAAGGACAGCAATTTTCGAATGTTTATATAGGGGAATTTGGGTCCATACATAAATTGAGCATACGACTAATTTTTCAATAGCGACCAAAAATATCCATTAGTACCATCCCAATAACGCGTTATTTTTTTCCTTGATTTGTTTTTCGTCGATCTTGTTTTCCGTGTTGAGCACTGACGCCAGGGAGGCAGCTCCCACACCTGGACCCTACCTATCGACCCATCAACTCATGAACCGGGGACCAACGGCTTTACTTCCCTTCCGAAGGAAGGCGTGATCAGAAAGGTTATGCCTCAGAACATCCCGGTGGCGCCTACTGGGATTGACAATCACGCTTACCACTACACCACCGGCACCGCTCCAATGACGCGTTCATCTAGATAAAATGTAAATCCTTTAAATTTGTCGAACCTTTTAACGGAATCCCTTTATCAAGAGCTTTCAGTGGGTTGGTTTATTTCCTTTAAATTCCTCTTAGCGATACAGGCAAATCAAAGGAAATAGCTCACATTTTTTAAATCGCTAGACTTAATGGGTATCAAGAAAAAACAATTCAAGCAGTAATCGATAAAAGAACAAGGGATCATTTGAGGCGTATTTCTACAACTCTTACTACAGTAACTGAGGGTTTAAACCGGGTAGCGGTGAATTTTGACAAAACACATTACCAAACCATTGATTTCAAAGTTTAAAAGTTTTGGCCTAGATTTAGTATTTAGCAGCAGGACAAATCAGCTGAAGTCACTGTTATGATCAACAAAAGATTCAATAAATGTGTTAGGGAAAGCCGGAGTCTACAAAATCTATTGCCCAGATTTCAATAAAATCTACATTGGTCAGACGAAAAGGACTTTGGAAACAAGGTTTAAGGAACACATCGCAGAGGTAAAAAAGGCTAACAAAGAGATGGATAAAGGACTTCATTATGAATTTAAATCCAAGGTTGCAGAACATATCATTATAAAAGGGGACTGTTCGGACTGGGAGGGAACTTTCCCTTTCGGTAGTGGACTGTATCGGCAGGGTGGTGGAGGAAGCAAGCGTCGATCGGAAATCAACTCGTAAGGGCTCTGAAAAGAGCTGGTGGGTTCGACGCTGCTCCAAACCAGGGATGTGTGCAAAATAAACTTGATCGGGACGGCTACGCTAACAACTGTTTATTCTCTCCTCTTTCTCTCTACAAATTCTGCTTCTACTGATGCTGATGTTTGCTGGTGCTTGGTCGGAATAGAACTCTTGTTTGCACAGTGTAGCATGCCTCTTTTAAAGCGGCGAGCGTTGATTTGGTCGTCGCTGATTGGTGGATGTTGTAGCCTATTGATGGTCTCGTTCTTCGCTGCTTGTTGGTTGTGTTCGTATCAGTTGACTTTCGGCGGAGACGGAACATACTCCCCCGGTTGAGGTAACTCAACGATTAACAACGATTGTCTAGAATTGCTGATTGGACGTCGGTATCTAGAACTTCCTGCAACGGTTGTGATGCGACCCAACTTCCAGTGGGGCTGATTTTTTGATGGTAGTGGAACAACCAGGGTTTCACGGATGATCGGCATGGTTCGTAGGTTCTTTTTCCTGTGTAGTAGGGTAATTTCTGGGTGGGTACTTTGGAAAATAGTACAATTATCCGAATGCTGCTGCTGCTTCCTCGTTGTCCAATGAAACGCTTGAAGAATGCCAGGAAGGCATCGGTGCTCAGATCGTATAACGCTTCCAGGCCATCAGTGTAGATCGGATGAAGGTTTGCCAATTTCTTGCAAGCGTCGTGGGCAACAACTCGCTGAATGTCTTCCGCCAAATGGACAAACTGAACCACTTGGGTGATAGTTTCGGTTGCCTGGCGTGGTTGCGGGATGATCAAGAGCTGCTTTTTCTTCAGGTCGACTGGGTCATCTGGGTTGACGATAACTGCTTTCAGTGCAGGTAGCATCTGGTCTGGAACATTTTCGGGTAGTTCGATGTTGTACCTTTCTCTCTGGAGGAACTCAGGACCACTCCACCAAGACACGATATCAGTTTGTTTCTGGATCACAGCGTTTCGGTTTCTTCCGAATGACTGTAGTTGGTTGAGCGGTTTGTTGATCCAGGCCAGCACTATCGTACTTTCGCACCATAGCACAATTTCTCGGAACTCCATATCCAGGACTGGTAATACCTTCTGTACTAACCGGGTTAGCAGGTGAGCGGCGCAAAGTAGTGTTCTCAGTCTGAGCTTGCTGGCTCGATGTCGAATAGAAAGATCCTGTGGCGGTGGCTCCTCAGGCTTTGGTATTGGAACGATATCAATGGAATCACGATAGGGCATCTTCGGTACAGGATTAGCTGAGCTTGGCTTGTCAGGTGGATCTCTTATTTGTTGTTCCTCAGATGTCGGTAACGGAGCGAGTGCACTTGGCTCCAGAACTGGCCTTGAGTGAATTCCAGCTGACATCGGGACCGGCTTGAACATCGGACAGTTTTCGGTTGGCATCAGATACCGCTTGAATACCGGATACTTTTCCATTGGCTTCGGGTACCGCATGAATACCGAACGGTTTCCGGTAGACATCGGAAACATCTTGAACACGGGCCGGTTTCCGGCAGACGTAGGGAATAGCTTTAGCACCTGATGATTTCGAGCTGGCACCGGATGGTCTCCTGTTGACATCGGTAACGGCTTGTTCACCGGATGGTTTCCAGGGGACATCAGAAACGGCTTGTTTACCTGATGAATTCCAAGGGTCATCGGGAATCGCTTGAACATCGGACGAGTTCCAGTGGACATCATGAAGGTCGTGACCACCAGACGGGTTCCAGTAGACATTTGAAACGGCTTGAACACCGGACGGGTTCCGGTGGACATCAGGAAAGGCTTGATTACCGCTTTGATTCCGGCGGACATCAGGAACGGCTTGGTGACCGGATGGGTTCCAGTGGATATCATTAATGGCTTGACCACCGGACAGGTTGCAGTGGACATCAAGAACGGTTTGACCACCGGATTGGTTCCGGCGGACATCAGGAAAGGCTTGATCGCAGGCTGGATTCCGGCAGAGATCAGGAACGGCTTGGCCACTGAATTGGTTTCGATGGACATCGAGAACGGTTTGACCACCGGATTGGTTCCGGTGGACATCAGGAAAGGCTTGATTGCAGGCTGGATTCCGGTAGAGATCAGGAGCGGCCTGACACTGAATTGGTTTCGGTGGACATCGAGAACGGTTTGACCACCGGATTGGTCCCGGCGGACATCGACAACGGTTTGACCACCGGATTGGTTCCGGCAGACATCAGGAAGGGCTTGATCACAGGCTGGATTCCGGTGGAGATCAGGAACGGCTTGGCCACCGGCTGGATTCAGGCGGACATCTGGAATGGCTTGACCACCGAATTGGTTTCAGTGGACATCGAGAATGGCTTGACCACCGAATTGGTTTCGGCGGACATCGATAATGGCTTGACCACCGGACGGATTCCGGTAGAC